GCTATTAGTTAACATTAATGTATGGATTGAAATGTAGCATAACAAATAATTTACATTAATTATTTCAAAACACAATCAAATTATGCACATGAATACATGTTTGTAATTTTCAGACTAACCTTTACTTGCCAGAGCATATATATACAAAGTATACATTTTAACATCTGTGGATTATAATTTTTTTGCTTTTATGGTAGTAATGCTTTTACTATAGGACTCAAAATGAATTTTTTTTCTTTTCTTAAAATATATTTTATTGATTTTTCACAGAGGGGAAGAAAGAGGGATAGAGAGTAAGAAACATCGATGAGAGAGAATCATCGATCAGCTGCCTCTTGCATCCCCCACACCAGGGATGTGCCCGCAACCAAGGTACATGCCCTTAGCCGGAATCGAACCTGGGACCTTTCAGTCCCCAGGCTGACGCTCTATCCACTGAGCCAAACCAGTTTGGGCCAAAATGAATTTTTGAGAATATTAAACCCCTTGTCTTCTTAAGTAGTTTATTAACTATCCAAAACTAGTTTCAAAAAATACGTATTTACATCTTAAAATTTCATGCAGTGGGTCCATTGTCTTTAATCAATGTGATTTTTTAAATTCTCTTTATCAAACACTAATTAATTCTTAATGGAAAGTATAAAAGTCCCTATCACCAAGAGAAAAATATATTGGAGTAACTCACTTATTGGTTTTTTGGACAGTCTATAATTGGATAAGAATTTATGAAAATAAACCTCTCTGATCAGTATAGATATATATTTTGGATTTAGTAATTTGAAGCTGTACCAACTTCTGTAGTTGATTATTGATGAGAGCTGAGTGACAAGATTTTTTTTTGCTAGGAACATCACCATAAGACCTGCAACGAACAAATCAGGTGATGAAAAATAAGAAGTTACTTCTCTAGGCTGTGAATGATTGCTTCTATTATTATATGCCATATTGGGATACTAGTGAGTGTTAGAAGAGCTAAGGAAAAAAACAGTTGTTTTATACATGTGTCTTCTTGAAAGTCTAGAGGCTATCTTTTTCATTCTTCCTTCACTGCCTCTTTTTGTCTTCTATACTTCATTCTTTTCAATGCTACTAAAGGATGTGTTCTAGAAAAGTGGTTCTGTGTCATCTGTCTACCCCTGGGTATTTGTAATATGCCTTCAAATGTTCTCAGGGCAAAATTTATAAAAACATATAATTATATAAGCATAATATGCAAATCGACAGAAAGGCCAAACAGGGGAAAGACTGTCTGGATGCCCTTCCAAACGTCCTTACAGATGACCTTCAGGATGAAGCCAGGTCTGCGAGGGCCAAGGCAGCTGGGGCTGCAAAAGCCTACTCTTGAACAAATTTTGTGCATTGGGGCTTTAGTTTTATAATAATACTGAGATATTATTTATAAAACTTCTTCCACCTTGGCACAATAAAGCAGTGACACCAAACTGTCAGTATTCATTGTATTCTTCATACACTTTTAGCTTTAAAAAACCATGAAAGTTTTACTTAGGAATGACTTTGGTGAGGTGTTAGCAATCATTAAAATTTTCAAATATCAATCATTGAGTACACCTTTTTGTAATATTGTGTAAAGAAATGAGAAGTACACATACACCACTTAGCTGCATACCAAAAGATAATGGTTGTGTCAAGAGAGAACTTGTGTGATTTTTTTTTTGAGCTGAACTAGCTACTTTTTAAAATGAAACAATTTTACTTGAAAGAATGATGAACAAACTATGATTCCTTAAAATTGGGCATCTGCTAATGATTTATAAAAAATGAAATGTAGTAAGCCTTTATTTCATGGAAAACAACTGATAAATTTTTTTGAGCTTTGAAGCAATAAATTAGAATTGTTAAAATTTTTATTTGCTATCATAAGCTTGATATCTTCTTAATACTCAAAATATATTTTTCTGATGAGATTACTGCTCTCAACATTTGGAAGATCTGCAAAACTCACATGATATTTGCAAATTAGGCATTAATACAGACTCCATTTAAAGTGTAAGGTAGATCAGTGGATTATTACATAACAAAATATGGACGTTAATTTGATACGCTTCAGATTCTCCATTGCAACTAATCTTTAAGAAACTGCCACTTGTCAAATTCTTGTTTCATATAAAGGAAAACATAACCAAAGCTATATGAACAGGCTATTAAAATATTCCCTTTTCCAAATACTAGTACTTATCTGTGTGAGGTCTGATTTTTCTTGATATACTTCAAGCAAGACAACTCAATTACAACCAATTCAATGTGGAAGCAGATATGATAACCCAACTTGTCTTCTGCTAAGCCTGATATTAGAGACTTGTGAAAATGTAAATCAGAAAAAAAGAAAATATAGGGAGAATCCAAGATGGCGGCTTAGGTAAGCACCTAAGCTGCCACCTTGCACAACAATTTCAAAACAACTAAAAGACAAAATGGATATCATCCAAAACCACAGGAAAGCTGGCTGAGTGGAAAAATCTACAACTAGAAAGAAGAGAGTCTCACAGATTAGGGGAGCCGCAAAGCACTAAGGTTTGGAGACTTGCATGCAAAGAGGAAGGGTGGCCGAGTGCCTGGCAGGTGGGAGGGGAAAGGAAGCCCCTGACTGCACTGATCCCCAGTTCCAACTTCACTAAACCCCAACCCCGTCCGAAACCACATGGAGCCAGGCTCATATGGTTGGAGTCTGGACTCTAGAGAAAGGCACCTGGAGACTCAGAGACTGGAAGACTCAGGGGAGCCTGGAGCTGCAGCAGTCATGGTCTACAGTTGCTCTCGAGTGAGAGAGTGCAGAAAGGTCTGACCGCGGAGGTTGCTGCGGCCTCTCCATAGTGGAAGGAGACAGAAGCTCCAGACTACAGAGACCCAACCCAATTCCACTCTTAAATGGGAATCTGGACTGTCAGACGGCAACTCAGGGGAGCCGCAGAAGGTAGAGGTCTGAGGCGTGTGCACAAGGGCAGGGCTGATGGGAAGCCAAGACTGTCAGCTCAGCTCTGAGATTCTGCCCCATCCAAGCTGTGCTCAGAGGCTTTTGCAATTTTGCAAGTCTGATCCTATAAGACTGTCTCCAATACAGAAGGTATCCCAGAGCAGACACAGCTGATACTCACATCCAATTGGCCTGAAGGTCAATTCCTCCCAAGGATACCAACAACAATCAAGAATTAACTACAAGCCGAAACCAGTTTAGCTCAATGGATAGAGCATCGGCTTGGTGACTGAAAGGTCCCGGGTTCGATTCTGGTCAAGGGCATGTACTTTGGTTGCTGGCATATCCCTAGTAGGGGGTGTGCAAGAGGCAGCTGATCGATGACTCTCTCTCATTGATGTTTCTAACTCTCTCTCTCCCCTCCTCTCTGTACAAAATCAATAAAATATATTTTTAAAAAAAGAATTAACTACAACAAGGCTGTACACGCAGTCCACAAAGGGGAGCACCAAGAGTGTCTACCTCAGGTAACTGGGGAGGCTGACCCACCAGACAATATAGGATACCAAGCATACAAAGCCATCCTATCAAGTCAGGGAAACAGCGAAAATGCTGAGATGAGGAAATAGATCTCAAACGAAAGAAAAGGAGAACAAAAGACTGGATATAGAGTTCAAAACCATGGTTATACGGTTTTTCAAGAATTTCCTAGAAAAGGCCAATAAATTTAGTGAGGCCCTCTGTGGTATATGAAAAAGAACCAACTAGAAATTAAACATACACAAAATGAAATAAAAAATATTATACAGAGACCCAACAGCAGACTAAAGGAACACAAGAATCAAGTCAAAGATTTGGGAAACAAAGAGACGAAGGAAACTCCTCTGGAGAAGCAAGAAGAGAAGAGAATCCAGAAAGTTGAAGATAGTGTAAGAAGATACTGTAGGGACAACTTTAAGCATAACAACATCAGAATTATGGGGGTGCCAGAAGAAGAGAGAGAGCAAAATACTGAAAACCTATTTGAAGAAATAATGTCAGAAAACTTTCCCCTCCTGGTGAAAGAAATAGACTTACAAGTCCAGGAAGTGCACAGAACCCCAAACAAAAGGAATCCAAAGAGAACCACACCAAAATATATCATAATTAAAATGCCAAGAGCAAAAGACAAAGAGAGAATCTTGAAAGCAGCAAGAGAAAAACAGTTAGTTACCTATAAGGAAGCACCCATACAACTATCAGCTGATTTCTCAACAGAAACCATGGAGGCCAGAATAGAGTGGCAAGAAATATTCAAAGTGATAAATAGTAAGAACCTACAACCAAGATTATTCTACCCAGCAAAGCTATCATTCAGAATTGAAGCTCAGCTAAAGATAAGAAAGAGTTTTCACAGATAAGAAAACGCTAAAGGAGTTCATCACCACCAAACCAGTATTATATGAAATGCTGAAAGGTATTCTTTAATAAGAGGAAGAAGAAGAAAAAAAATAAAAATTATTATCAACAAATACATATATATATCAACAAGTGACTCTAAAAATCAAATGAATTAAAAATCTGAGGAACAGAATAAACTGGTGAATATAATAGAATCAGGGGCAAAGAAAGGGAGTGGATTGATAATTATCAGGGGAAAGGGGTATGGGGGGTGCAGGAAGAGACTGGATTAAAATTGTATGCTTATGGATGAGGACAATGGGGGGGGAGGTAAGAGGAGAGGATGAGGTGGACACCAGATGGAAGGGAGCTATCGGGGGGGGGGGGGGGGGGGGGGAGGAGGAACAATTGTAATAATCTGAGCAATAAAGATTTATTAAATTTGAAAAAAAAGAAAATATAAATTAGTGTCACTTTTTCAGTTTTTTGAAAGATATATTGATAGTTATCTTTTATAAAAATATATTAACATGTAACAGATTCATTATCCTTAATGAATCAATCAGTAATTATTTTTCTGTTTTAATTTTCAATATGATAAATATCAATAGATGTAACTCACAAAAACAAAATGACTTTGATGTCTTCAATAATTTTTAACACTGTTAATGATTCCATAGAACAAAAAAATGAGAACTGCTTTCCTGGAAGAATTTAATAAAGATAGTTCCACTTGTGGTGGAATCATCTTTTCTTTTTTAAAAATGTATATTTTATTGATATTTTTACAGAGAGGAAGGGAGAGGGAGAGTTAGAAATATCAATGAGAAAAAAACATCAATCATCTACCGCCTGCACACCTCCTACGGGGGATGTGCCTGCCACCAAGGTACCTGCACTTGACCAGAATTGAACCAGTGACCTTTCAGTTCGCAGGCCAATGCTCTATCCACTGAGTCAAACCAGTTAGGGCAGAATCATACCGTGTTTCCCAGAAAATAAAACATCCTCTGAAAATAAGACCTACTTACAGGTTTCCTTCTGAGTGAAATATAAGGCATACCCCCAAAATAAGGCCCCCCAGGCTTTGTCTCAGAATGAAAATTAATTTACAATAAATTGGTCACTAGGGCTGCACCGACTGGCATCTAGCAACCAGTGACGTTATGCGGATTCCTGACGTCACTGCTGTGTCGTGGCATAAGGGAGGTCGGAGTGAGCTGTGAGCTCGGGGCAGGAGAGAGGAGGAGACTTTCGCAGATGCCTGTAGAAGAACAGGAGGATTAGAGCGGAAGGGACACAGGGAAGGTGGTGAGTGCTGGTCTGTCTCTGGTGACACTACCTGATGCTAGTAGTTGCCCTCATGATGACTGAAGGTTCTCAGTCAGTGGCAGACCCTGCTCCAGCCCATATCCAGGCCCCAGCAAACCCAGTGACAGTCCTCAGGCAGGCCCCAGGGGGTAAATTTCTGATAAAGAGGTAGGGGGGATGTCTGGTGAAGGTGTTCACTGGCACAGCGGTGGGGGGAGGGGGATCACTTAAAATGACACAGGAGGATCAGAGGGGGCAATCAAAATGACACAGGAGGATCAAAAGGGGTTACTAAAATGGTAATCCCCCCTCTGATTCTCCTGTGCCATTTTGATTCCCCCCTCTGATCCCCCCATTTTATATGATCCCCCTCCCCCCCCACCTTGATACCCCAATTCCTTTTTATTACCCCTAGAAATGAGCGCAAAAAAAAATGCTACTCCATGGAGTACAAGAAAGGAATCGTGGAAGACTCTTGGGACTAAAATCTTACTGCTTTCTGCAAAGAGAAGATGTTGAGTATCTGATTGGTCCGAAAATGGCAAGCAGAGTATGGTAACCTCATTGAACAAGTGGACAAGGGAAATGCTAAAAAGCACAAGTGTGGATCAGGTCAGCAACCATTATTTTCCGAGCTGGAAAACCTGATCTGTGAATGGGTTGTTGACAGGAGAGCAGAGGCTTTGGTTGTGAATAGGGCTCAGATCCAAGAATTCGCCCTTGCAATGGCACCACAGTTTGACATAGCCCCCGAAGACTTCAAAGCATCACAACACTGGCTGGATAATTTCCTTCAGCGAAGTGAACTGTCTTTAAGAAGATCTACAACATTGTTTAGGTTGGAAGATACTCGAGTTATTAAGCGAGCACTTGCATTCAAGTCCTTTATTGATGATGCTGACTTCTCTAAATACAATCTTTCCAACATGATTGCTATGGATGAAACTGCAGTGTTTATGGGCCAATCATCTCAAACAACAATTGAACAGCGGGGTGCCTCCTTAGTGTACATTTCCTCCACTGCTTACGAAAGTGCACGTGTTTCTTGTATTTTGGCAATTCATCTGGATGGCACTAAAATCCCACCTTTAATCATTTCTAAGGGCAAAAAGGAAAAGATTGAACGTGTTTTGGGCATTTTTATTCTTGAAACTGAAAAAGCCTGGGCCACACAAGCAGTTATAAGGAAGTGGGTCGATTTAATGCTGCCACTTGTTCTGCGAGGGAGCCAAAGAGGTCTGCTAGTCTGGGATGCAGCCAGCACTCACCTCGCTAAAGACATGAAGACATTTTTTCATGAAAGAAAAATAGATCAGATAATGATTCCCTCAGGAATGATGGCCCATCTCCAGACTCTTGATATTGCAATAAACAAGCCATTCAAAGACAATTTGTGCATGGAAATTAATGACTACATTGAAAATAGAATGGAGAGAAATCAGCATGGAAACTTTGTGAAACCTAAACTGCAAGAAGTTGTGACTTGGGTGAAGAATTCATGGGAGAAAATCACTGACAGTTGCATTGCAAATGCACTGCAAGCAGGCTACCTTGACAAGAAGTACTCATTTAAAGACAGTGCTATTGCTAAACTGAGAGATTTGGTCCACTGATTCTGAAAGAAATGGAGTCACAAGAAATTCACCAGGAAATTCAGGAATTGGATTGTTATTATGATGTTCCAGAAGATGATGACATGATTGTCATTGAATAAATGAGTAAATTCTTGATACTGTAGGGTTCACAGTTTGTCTGGTTTGTGTTGACAACTATCATACTACTGTACCGTATACAGGTAATAAATTTCCTTCATTTTAATTTAACAATAAATGTGTACCGTATTCTTCTTCATCGAAAAATAAGATATCCCCTGAAAATAAGACCTAGCGCATCTTTGGGAGCAAAAGTTAATATAAGACACTGTCTTATTTTCGGGGAAATGGGGTATATGTTTTCATCCTCTTGGTCACAGGATATTGATTAGAAAAAAGGGAACTGTTTGGTTATCTTCATTTATTTGCTCTTGTCAGTAAAATTGAGTGAAAACTTTAAGTCTGGTTATTAGGGTTAATACCATTTGCTTAGCTTTGAAGGGGTGTGTGTGTGTGTGTGTGTATGTGTGTGATGGTAATCCTTTAATCAATTGTTAAAATTGATAAAGACTGCCCCTTTAATTAGATGTACTAATAATATAAAATTCTATTTGCTTCCCAACAACTGCAAACTTGGGGGGGAAAAACAGATGAGAAAATATGCATCTGAGGCCTGAGCTTCTTGAACTGGATCAATAAGTGTTATATGACATTGAGAACACCTTGATAATGTAGTTCGTGTGTTCTTTCTGTCTAACCCAGGTTGAATGATATTATTTTGCAATGAAAAAGTGAGACTTAGCACTGTTCATTTATAAGAAATTAACTTTTATTGCTTCTATTTTATAAAAATCACTGAAGGCACACTATGTGTATGCTAAATTTAGCACTCTTTGATCAAATGATTACCATTTTTATCAGTAAAAATTATGGACTTTTAAGAATATCACTTTTAAGATTATATCCAGTAAAAATAACTCCATGAAATGAAGCCACCATAATATTTTATGAAAAGATACATACTTTCTTAGGATTCTCTGTTGCTCAGAGGAAATTGTGTTGGATTTCAGACTAGATTTTAGACAAGGAAGTAAGAGATGGTAGCAGTTTTAATTTGTTAGCTCTTTGCATACAAAAATATTTATGGTGATATGCAAATTTTTTTTTATTTTGTTAAACTCCTAACTCTTTTTAGTGCAAAGATACTTTTATGTTGCAAAAATAAAACAAAACAAAAAAAAACACACACAAACAACCCTTTGTTAGCTTGTGGATTCTCTTGAATAGTCTCCTCCAATGTGGTATGAACTGTTTGTTACTGGTTCACTGTGTGACATGTTAAAAATCTTAGAGTAAGCATTTAGAAATGTTTACAGAAATTTAATAGAGTAATTTCATGTGTGGAATTATTAGTTTAAAACGGGATTATATCTTGTATGACATTTAAGTTTTTTATATCCTCTCTAATAAAAGAGAAACATGCAAATTGACTGTACCTTCACTACACCCACCAGCCACACCCTCCAGGAAATCAGGGAGAGTATGCAAATTAACCCAACCAAGATGGCGGTTAATTTGCATATCCAGGCTAGAGTGAAGACTGAAGACAGCATAGAAAGAAGCCAACCACTGCAGAAGGGAGTGAAGCTACAGAGAAGCAAGCAAGTGGGGCAGCAGAGAAGAAAGGGAAGCAGGCGGAGCACGGGAGAAGAGAGTGAAGCCAGCCAGGCTGTGGAGACAGCAGCAGGAAGCCCTATTGCAGGAATCTTCCTGCAAAGGGCCTCTAGTATTTAATAAAAGTAAGATCTACAGTGGGTTGGAGGAAAGGGAAAAAATACTTATTTATCTACACAGAAAGTATGAGCAGCATTACCCTACATGACTGTGAAAGTGCTAAACTTAAATGGTCCTTGAGTTTATGAGTGAAATAAATCCTTTTAGGATAAAAGAAAGTGGAAATTCCATGAAGTGAAAAACCTCTCCTGAGTTGGCTGATATATAATTACAAATAAAAGATCTTCAATAAAAGGTTTTGAGCTGTATCTTGGGAAATAGGCAAGACAAAAATTACTCAACAGCTCTCCCATCTGCAATTTTATGTCTACAAACTAGTGGGGGGGGGGGGGTTGTTTCCCTCAGCCTAGCTGCACCCTCTCCAATTTGGGACCTTAAAGGATATCCTATTGCCAGTTTACAGGGATCGGGCCTAAACTGGCAGTCGGACATCCCATTCACCTGCCTGCCTGCTTGATTGCCCTTAACCACTCTGTCTGCCGGCCTGCTTACCTGCAATGCTCCTCGGCCAGCCTGATCATTCCCAGCTGTTCCCCATGCCAGTGTGCTTGTCCCCAATTTCACCCCCTGATGGCCTGCTTGCTCTCATCTTCCCTCCCCACTAGCTTTCTTGCCCTCAACTGCCACTCTGCTGGACTGCTCACTCCAAACTCCCCCCCCCACCCCCCGCTGTCCTGATCACTCCCAACTCTCCCACTGCTAGTCTTCTCACCCCCAACTGCCCCCCCCCCCCACGGCCAGCCTGATCACCCACAACTACCTTCCCATCATGGCCTGATCACCCAAAACTGCCCTCCCCTCTTGGCTTCTAACGGCTTCTACCTTGGCCCAGCCACCATGGCTTTGTCCAGAAGAATGTCTGGAAGGTCTTCTGGAAGGTTTGAAAACAACCATCAGCCCCTCACCCTTTTATTAGTATAGATGGAGGCCTGGTGCATGGGTGGGGGGCAGCTGGTTTGCCCTGAAGGGTATCCTGGATCAGGGGGGGGGGTTCTCCTGAGGCATGGGGCAGCCTGGGCAAGGGTCTGTGGTGGTTTTCTGGATGGCAATGCCCCTATGGGGTGAAGGACCCCGCTGTGGGGGATGTGGCCAGCCTGGGTGAGGGGCTGAGGGCTGTTTTCAAACTGGACACACCCCCTTCAGTGTGGGGTTCCCATTGGGATGCCTGGCCACCCTGGGTGAGGGGCTGATGGTTGTTTGCAGGCTGGCCATTCCTCCCAGCAGGGACCTTCACCCCATGGGGCATGGCTAAAGTGGGTGAGGAGATGATGGCTGTTTGCACGCTGGCCATGCCCCCAAGCAGGGACTCTTACTTCATGGGGCATGGCCAGCCTGGGTAAGGGGCTGAGGGCCATTTTCAGGCTGGCCAGAGCCCCTTTAGGGTGGGGGTCCCTACTGGGGTGCCTGGATAGCCTGGGTGAGGTGCTGATGGCTGTTTGCAGGATAGTCAGGCCCCCGAGCAAGGACTCTTACTTCATGGGGACATGGCCAGACTAGATGAGGGACTGAGGGCTGTTTTCAGGCTGGTCATACCCCCTTCATGGTGGGGGTCCCTCCTCGGGTGCCTGGCCAGTCTGGGTAAGGGGCTGAGGGTCATTTTCAGGCTGGCCACAATCCCTGGTGACCCAGGCTTACAGTCCCTCCTTACCCCCCACCCTCCCCTGCCAGCCCTTCCTTGAATGGAGGCCAGGGCCAGCTGGTAGCTTGGCTTCCTCCATTGCTCAGGGCAACCTAAGCCTCCTGCTTTCTCCAGCTCCATGGCCACTGCCATCTTTGTTGGGTTAATTTGCATACTTGCTCCTGATTGGCTGATGGACTTAATGGAGGGATGGTCAATTTTCATATTTCTCTTTTATTAGTATAGATTAGTTACTTGATAACATTTTCAATTTAAGCAACACTTAAATAGAACATGCTAGAGTTGGGGATGGCATGTTGAAGCACTGAACAGGTTTTGCTAATTATTTTTTAAAACTCCATTTTACTGCCAAAACTGGTTTGGCTCAGTGGTAGAGCCTCAGTCTATGGACTGAAAGGTCCCAGGTTCGATTCTGGTCAAGGGCATGTATGTTGGTTGTGGGCACATCCCCGGTGGGGGGTGTGCAAGAGGTAGCTGGTCTATGTTTCTCTCTTGTCGATGTTTCTAACTATCTCTTTCCCTTCCTCTCTGTAAAAAAATCAATAAAATATATTAAAAAAAACACACAAAAACTGCATTTTACTAATAACACATAAAACTGAAATCTATTTACATTTCTCTTTATATCTGGCTTTTAAAATTTAAATTTTAATGAGTCATAATATTAGTTTAAAAATGTGATATATTATTTAAGCTTGATTGGCAACTTTAAAGAGTTTATCTTTCATTTGTTTATTGAGGTAATTTGCCATCATGATTCTTTTACTGGGCACACAGATAAGAATTGCACCTGATTTCTTATTAAAATTCCTAGTAACTTCTAAAATGGACCAAAAAGGAAGTAGAAATAAAGATATCAAATTAATAGTCATCACATAGGTTTCTCTTTATTAAGGCAACAAAAAGGATCTTAGGTCTTAAAAGGAGCTCCAGCCGAAACCGGTTTGGCTCAGTGAATAGAGCATCGGCATGCTGACTGAAAGGTCCCAGGTTTGATTCTGGTCAAGGTCATGTACCTTGGTTTCGTGCACATCCCCAATAGAGGGTGTGCAAGAGGCAGCTGATCCATGATTCTCTCTCATCGATGTTTCTAACTCTCTATCCCTCTCTCTTCCTCTCTGTAAAAAGTCAATAAAAAAATATATTTTTTAAAAGAGCTCCATTAGCTCAAATTGTTTTGTTATTTTTGCTATCCATAAAAAAGTCCATGACCATATCATATATTTTTTAAATTTCTTCACAGTAGTGTGTATGAGAGTGTGATTTACTGAATGAATGAAAGTGAGAAAGTATTAAGAGCATATAATTTATAGGAATGTTACCTTTATAAAATAAAAAATGCAAGGACATATGCTTGTGCTAATGTGTATATATAGCAAAAAGTGCTTGAAAGTTAATTTTACTGTTTTTTATTACTCTATTAGGTTTTTCTTGTTAGAAAGAAGACTGGCCCTGATGCTGGACAACTCTATGCAATGAAGGTGTTAAAAAAAGCTTCTTTGAAAGGTAGAAAATTAGAAAGCTTATTTAAATAGAATTTGATAAATCTCATTTTAAGAAATATTCTGTGTATTGATTGTATAAGTTGAGTAGCTTTGGTTTTCTTTTTCATTTTTTAATTAAACTTAATGGGGTGACATTGATTAATAAAATTATATAGGTTTCAAGTATACATTTCTATGATACATCATCTTTATATTGCATTGTGTGCCCACCAGCCAAAATCAGATTTTTTTAGTCACCATCTATTTGACCCCATTTTTCTTTACTACTTTCTTACCCCCTTCCCTCTGATAGCTAACATACTATTTTGTATGTCTATGAGTTTTTTGTTTCATTTTTCTCATTTGTTAATGAGTTAATTTCAGTTTTCCATCCCACCTATGATTGAAATCATATAGTTCTTAACTTTTTTGTCTTAGTTTTTTTTTTAATTTAGTAATTATTTAGGGTTTTTTTAAATCTCTAATTGATATTTCTAGGGTTTATATTTGTATATATCTTAATTTAATGAGAGTATACCATGATAAAAATTTAATGGCATAAAAAGTGACACATTTAATAAAAATAATTTATTTTATTAAGTTATATTCTTTTATTTGTTTTCTGTTCCACCTGTGTTGCTATTACATATTGAGAATGCACAACTGCCTGCATACTCTTATATACACTGTCTTCTAGGCTCTGATCAGAAACCACCATGCTCAGTTTTAATCAATAAACTCACTTTAAAATTAATTACTAATACATTAAAAATGTATATAAGTCAAATACATGTTTATTTCACTTTAAACCACCTTGAGATGTTAACTGTATTTGCTTTCTGAATATATGGTAATTACTCTTTAGGCATATATAGACTGCAAATTTAAGAACTTATAAAGTTATGTTTTATATTTTTACATTTTTGTTTTATGAAATGTTTATGGAAATATATACAATAATAATTAACATATTCTAACCTCTAATTTTTAGTTCGAGACAGAGTTCGCACAAAGATGGAGAGGGATATACTGGTGGAAGTAAATCATCCATTTATTGTCAAATTGCATTACGGTATGTAATATGTAGAAAGCCCTAGATAAAATTACTTTAAGTTGTATGCATTATTATATAAAGGAGTTATATATCTTACTTGAATGCTCTCTTCTGTGTTTAGGTATTCTTATTCTATGATGCTCTTACTGTGAAATTTAAGTGCAAGTAGAAAAAACTATGAGACTTTTCAATACTTGTGACAATTCAATTTGGTTTATACACAGTGTAATATTTCTCTAGTTGCTATACAAAATTCCTTACAGACAATGCTTTTATCTTCCTTAGGTGTTGGCCTCAGCCTAATAAGTGGGGTTGTTCTATTAAATTGCTGCCAGGTTATTCATCTAGTTACCTCCAATTTCTAGAACATATTCTCTTCTAATGTTGTTGACACCAATTTCTACTTCATATATATAATTGCAATAGCAATTATATATATAATTGCTATAGCAATTAAAGTTTGTCTTCCATGAGTTGAGTCCTCTTAACAAAGTAATTGCAATTAACCATTTTGTGTATTACTATTTTAACATTATTGCCTCCTGAGCTTCTATACCTTTGATTTTGTTCTTCCCCTCCCAAACCACCTCAATAGAGCAATACACTCTTATACTGGGTTTATACCAATCTTATACCCTAGAGGAGGAAAGGAAGTGGACCCTAGACTTAATTTTTTTTTTAAGGTCAAGGGAGTTTGGCTTTTTAAGAATTGGCATTGGCTCTTTTAGAAGATAGTGACAAAAATAAATCTCAAGTGTTGATTAGTAAGAAAAACACATAGATTAATATTAGAATATACTGGCAGAATTATATGGGAACTGTATGCCATTCTGTACTCTTCAGTAAATAAGATTAACTTTTCATAAGTACCATGTCTTTACTAACTTACTAAATAGTAGTATAAAAATTTATCACTAGCTATATTATAATAGCAAGGAGATTTCAGATAAAGTTTGTGCTGGATTCAGTAAGTCAAATCAGATCATTCACCTTATTTTTAATTTTAGCAGCCATTTCCACTAAATTGCATCAGTAATACACCATAAACTTTAGTTCAAGTGGCATTAATGTCTGTCACCTTGTGACTTGAAGTTCTGTGTCTTTATGATGCATGTGCTGGGTGTTTTGAATTTGTGTTGTTCTTATTGGTGGTGTTTTTTTCACCATGGTTTCCAAGGATTAAATGAATGACCAGACATACACAGTGAAGCATATTGCTATCCATAAAACAACATGCAGAATTACAAAATGGTCAGTGGGAAATGACTAGAAGTACAGCTTTCAAAGGTTGCATTTTTAGCTGTATTTGCAAATACTGTGATATTTATCAGCCTAGAAAACAGTAGAGTTGACTAAATTTTATATTTTTGTCCTCAAAAATATTTAATTTTTTATGTGGCTTGATACAGTGTTATTTTTGTTCCTTATATATTTATAAATGAAACACCTTTTTTCCTAGTGTTTCTAAACATAAAATCTACTTGGTTTGAAATCAAGTAGTTGGAACAGTTCAATTTTATTTTAATCATGTTCTTGAATCAAATTTTCATTGAAGAAGCTTTCAATTAATAGATCAGTTTGATTCTGTAATTTGCACACAGTACATATTGTTTGGTATTGTTTTGTTTTGTTTTTAAATATGTTTTATTGATTTTTTACAGAGAGGAAGGAAGAAGGATAGAGAGTTAGAAACATCGATGAGAGAGAAACATCAATCAGCTGCCTCCTGCATTTCCCCCACCCTTTTACTGGGGATGTGCCCGCAACCAAGGTACATGCCCTTGACCGGAATCCAACCTGGGACCTTTCAGTCCACAGGCCAACACTCTATCCACTGAGCCAAACTGGTTTTGGCTATTTGGTATTGTTTTAAGGACCAAAGCTCAAAGTGGATTTTGTTCTTGAACAGTGTTCCAGTAGATTTTATGACATGTGTTGGCTTGAGGTCTAATATTTTTTTCTAATATATTTGAAATTTCTATTGTTGAAATACTGCACAAATTTGTATGAAACAAAACCTAGAAAAATGAAAACTGTAGTAATTTAAATTAATCCTAGTATGTTATAATAGAGGGACAGTTTTGATGCCATAATTTCTCTCTTCATGGTAGTGTTGGACTTAAATCAGTTGAAATGTATTTCTGTACCACAATTTAAGCTTCAATAAAATTTTGATTAATGGAATGTCTAGACATAAAAAGGATTTACTTTCAGACAATAATATAACAAGAAATATAATAAATGCTTCAAATTATTTAATATACTCAGCTATATGAAAAGTATTTATCTGAAGTAAGGATCAATATCTAGCTTCTAGTTGTATTTCTTATATTTATTGATTAACTTGTCTAAGTAAACAATATAGTAACTTCTGCTTATTTGTCTAATAATATTTCTCTATCCTACTAGGCTTTATCTCCTGTGACATTAGGCTATAAAATTCTGTGATAATTTATTCAAAACGTTATGGTGTTTGTGGCTCCACTTACATGTTCACAATGAGCATATTTATCTTATTTCCTGGTTCTATTTAAGATAATAATGTAATTTTATTAGTAAATTTGAGTTATTCTTTCTTATATTTAGAAGAGGAATAGCAATGAGAAGAAGTAGATGTTATAGAAAGAACATGAATTTGAAATTGAATCATGGCTCTATTGCTAATTTAATGTATGCATGATATTGCTGAGTTTAGCTTCCCTGGGAAATTCAAAGTTATATACATAATTAAATATCCAATATATACTACTATGTCATTTTTAATTTTTTAAATTTAAAAAAGTATCAGGTATTTATTTTATTCTTAGGTAATGTTGAAAAATAATATATTAAAATATATACCTAACTATACCTGTAACGTTCAAGAAATTATTCTTTCACTCCTTTTTACCCCAATGGAGTGAAAATGGTAGTATCTAAAGACTTTTTTTAATCTCCTGGATGTCATTAGTTTAATCAGTATATACCAGTTGTGTACAAAACACTGTATTAGATGTAGTGAGCTCTAAACAATCTCTGCCCTGAAGAAATTTATAATCTATAAAGAATACAGACTTGAAAACAAATTAATTATACAATTCAAATGAAGTAACTACCATAAGAGAGACATAAATAAAGTACCATGTGATCTTAAAATAGTAGCAAGTAATGCTGATGGGGAAGTGTAAGGTTGCTGTAGGAAATGAGAAAAGGGGGAAAATCCTTACTAGAGGAAAGAGGTTGCATTTTGGTTAAGCTTGAAAGAATTTGGTTTCAATAGGTGGGGATGCAGACTTCAGACAATAGTAGTATAACATGATGTTCAAAAATCAGAAAAATGAGGGTAGTAGAAGTTTCTGTGTGAAGCTGCATGCAAGATTGATTATGTTCTTGGAAGCATTTTATACTTATTTCAACACCAGATTTAATTTTGAAATAATGTGAAACAATAATGGATCATGTGAATAAATGCTTAATTGGTATATAGTGTTCAATGATAAAATTCTAAACGTTAAAAGTATACTAAGCTTTTTAAGCCTTTAATATTGTTATATTACTATATTCTATTTTTAAATCAGCCTTTCAGACTGAAGGGAAGCTGTATTTAATACTGGATTTTCTCAGAGGAGGAGATGTCTTCACAAGATTATCCAAAGAGGTATCTGTTTGTAAATCTTTACATGTTTTCTGGAAACAAAACTAAGAAAAATCAATTTGTTTCTTTTTTCTATAGAAATATTAAATGTTATCTGTTCTGTTTGTTTCATTGCATAGCATTTAGTGGATATGCCAATTAATTGTATTTTCTATCTGCCTGGGTCATTTAGATAATCTCAATGTGCTACTTATTATTCTCTTAGGTACATGATCAATTTAAATGAACTGGATAAAGCATATAAGGCCACACATAGATCTTTGCCTACAGAAGCTACCAAAGTGCCTCTGGGAGTAGTGTTTAATTTATTTATGTTTAAAACAGTTTTATGGTGATATAAATTACATACAACAAACTGCATATATTAAAGCATACACTTTCATAAATTTTGACATTTGTATATACCCCTGAAACCATCATCACAATCAAAATAATTAGCTTCTCCATCACCCCAACAGTTTTTTTTTGTACCCCTTTGTCAAGTTTCCATCCTGTCCCACCCCTACTGAATCTGCTTCCTGTCACTGTTTGGTTTAAATGTTTAGGATATTATATAAATGGAATTCTATAGTATGTATTTTTTGTCTCACTTATTTATTTCAGCAGAATTATTTTGAATTTCATCCATATTGTTACATGTACCTATACTTTATTCATTTTATTGTTTTGAGTATTCCACTTTATGGATACACCATGATTTGTATATTCATTCACTTGATGGATGTTTGTGTTTGTAGTTTTTGTATATTACTAATAAAACTGCTAAAATATTCACATACAAATGATTGTATGGACATATATTTTCATTTTTCATATTTAAATACGTAGAGTATAATGACTGGATTGTATATTTTATTTTAGTTTTCTTTCATAGTTTACATTAGGGTTTATAGTTGGTGTAAATTCTATGGGTTTGGATAAATGTATAATGACAAATATCTACCATTGTAGTCTCATACACAGTAGTTTCACTGTCCTAAAAGTCCTTCATGTTCTGCTTATTCATTCCTCTTTCTCCCCAACTATGATTGGGTTATATAGTAGGTATATGTTTTAACTTATTTTAAAGACACTTAAACTTTTCCAAAGTGGTTATATAATTTTTACATTCCCACCAGCAGCATATGAGAGTTTCAGTTGCTCCACATCTTTGTCAACACTTGATATGGTCAGTCTTGTTTTAATTTTAGACATCTCATAAATGTGTACTGGTACCTTGTTGTTTTGAATTTTATTACCCTGAAGATTAATGATGTGAGTCATCTCTTCATGCACTTATTTGACATCTATGTATTCACTTTAATAAAATGTCTGTTCAAATCTTTGCCCATTTTTAAAAATGGGTTGTTTCTTACTGAGTTTTATTTTGGATGGTAAGTCCTTCATCATATAGGTTGTTTGCAAATATTTTCTTCTAGTCTATAGTTTGTCCTTTTATTCTCTTTTACAGTATCTTTCTTTTTTATTTCAAATTTATTTTTATTCAGTAAATATTTATAGAGTTATATCTTATTAAACGAAAGAAATAACATATACAAACAGATAGTGGAGGGGGTGAGGGCATATGCTGGGGGTGGAAGAGGCTCTGGAGAGGTCAATGGGTGAAAAAAGAGACGTATGTAATACTTTAAACACTAAGTAATTTGAATTTTAATATGTATATAAACAAAACTTCGTGAAATTTAATAATATTTAAAAGCAGTTCTTAATTTTGATGAAGTTTTATTTATATACTTCTTAATATTTAAGTTCTTTATTGTTTAAAGTATTACATAAGTCTCCTTTTTCACCTATTGATCCCTCCCCACCCTCTCCCATCCCCCAGCAAATGCCCTCACCCCCCTACTGTCTGTGTCCATTGTTTCAGCTCATATGCATGCATGCAATTCCTTCAGTTGATCTTTTATCTTATCCCCCTCCCCTGCCTTCCCTCTTAGGTTGGATAGTCTTTTCAATGCTTCTATGATTCTGGCTCTATTTTTGTTCATCGGTTGATGTTGTTCATTATATTTCACAAATGAGTGAGATCACAATATTTCTCTTTCTCTGACTGGCTTATTTTGCTTAGCATAATGCTCTCCAAGTCCATCCATGCTGTTGCAAATGGTAAGAGTTCCTTCTTTTTTACTGTAGCAAAGAATTCCATTGTGTAGATGTACCACAGTTTTTTTTATTTGTTTGTTTGTTTTAAAATATATTTTATTGATTTTTTACAGAGAAGAAGAGAGAGGGATAGAGAGCCAGAAACATCAATGAGAGAGAGACATCAATCAGCTGCCTCCTGCACACCCCCCATTGGGAATGTGCGCGCAACCAAGGTACATGCCCTTGACCGGAATCGAACCCGGGACATTTCAGTCCGCAGGCCAAAGCTGTATCCACTGAGCCAAACCGGTTTCAGCTGTACCACAGTTTTTAATCCACTCATCTGCTGAATGGCATACAGCAGTTCTCTATCTGTGAGTGTGTGTTTTTCTTTTTTTTTTAAGTTGTCTTTTTTGTTGAAAGTATTACCAATGTTCCCTTTTTCCCCCATTGACCCCTTCTAGCCCGCTCCCTGCCTTAGTCCTTCACCTCGCTATCATGTCCATGATGTATGTGCATACACATACAAGTTCTTTGGTTTATCTCTTCCCACCCACCCATTCACCTTCCCACCCACCACCTTTCCTCTGAGATTAGACAAACTGTTCCATGCTTCTATGTCTCTGCATCTATTTTGTTCAGCAGTTTAATTTGTTAATTCAATTCCACATATGAGTGAAATCATATGGTACTTGTCATTCTCTGACTGACTTATTTCACTTAGCTTAATACTCTTTAGGTCCATGCATTCTGTTGCAAAAGATAAGATTTTTTTTCTTTTTTTAT